ATGTTGATCAGGCTATAGTCACAGACAGATCTGTGATATTAGAAGATTGTAATGTCGATCAGGCTATAGTCACAAACAGATCTTTGATATTAGAAGATTGTAATGTCGATCAGGGTCTAGTCACAGACAGATCTGTGATATTAGAAGGTTGTAATGATAATCAGGCTATAGTCACAGACAGGACTGTGTTATTAAAAGATTGTAATGTCGATCAGGCTATAGTCACAGACAGATCTGTGATATTAGAAGGTTGTTATGTTGATCAGGCTATAGTAACAGACAGATCTGTGATATTAGAAGATTGTAATGATAATCAGGCTATAGTCACAGTCAGGACTGTGTTATTAAAAGATTGTAATGTCGATCAGGCTATAGTCACAGACAGATCTGTGTTATTAGAAGATTGGACCATATTTTCTAGGTTGTATTTACAATCGGACTCTGAGGACATCTGTGGGTCTTAATGTTGGATGAAATCACAGTATTAGGAGAAAACCCACGTTGTGAGGATAATGACCCCATACCTTTTTACGTCCAATCAGGGAATGAGTTTTCTCCCACCCTTCACAGGTGTGTCCTCCGTTTTAACCGGGAAAGATCAGCTTGTCACCTCCTAGTGGGAGACAGCCTTGTGCCGATTAGCACATGTTTAATTGTGACGTCATTAAAATGTGGCACTGATAATGGTGACGTGATCAAAAGTGATTTTTTGTTTACACTACTGTCGTTGGAGTTGTGACTAAAAAAATAGGATGGCAGAAAAATAATCATCCCTACCTTAAGGGTGTAACAGAGAAATCTCCAACCCTCGGGATGATTTTTTTACCAAAAAACATTACCCCTCGGGTTGGAGATTTCTCTGTCACACCCTCAGGGTAGGGGAAGATTCTATTAATCCACTGCGCCAGCCGACCACTTATCTGTAGTTACTCTGGAAGACATATTTCAATAAATACCAGAATCCCCAATATCTGAAGATTTTACTGCAAGATACTTATTGATAGAAATCCCAAATGTATGCATGTACATGATAATATAGAGTTATATATGAATGTATATTCATGTATATAAGTAGAAAATAACAAAGGGGGGGTGGAGGAGTCCAACGTCCCGTGGGTGGTACTGTTCGCTAGATGGATCGGTGGAGGAGTCCTGGGTGGATACCGGAGTATTCTAGCAGAGCTCCATAGACGATAGGTAATAACAACTTGATAAAGGATGGAGCATCAACACCAAGGATTCCGTAGGTTTAGAATTTATTAGTTTACATGTTTCGATGACGGTTGACTGATGACGGTTGGCCTAGCCAACCGAAACATGTAAACTAATAAATTCTAAACCTACGGAATCCTTGGTGTTGATGCTCCATCCTTTATCAAGTTGTTATGTATATAAGTAATAAAATTAAATATATTAGGTGCTTGAATATTAAATTATAAAAATGTGTCTGAATGTTGGCATAATGATGCATAAATTTTGTCTGAATGTAGAAATATATATACATAGAAGGAGTGTCTGAATGTTGACATAAATTATGCATGTAATATGTCTGAATGTTGACATAAATTATAAACATGTCTGAATGTTGACATAAATTATGAATATGTCTGAATGTTAACATAAAATATACATGAAATTGTCTGAATGATGACATAAAGTTTACACAATATGTCTGAATGTTGACATAAGGTTTACACAATATGTCTGAATGTTGACATAAAGTTTACACAATATGTCTGAATGTTGACATAAATTATGAAAATGCCTGAATGTTGACATAAATTATGAATATGTCTGAATGTTAACATAAAATATACATGAAATTGTCTGAATGATGACATAAATTATATGTGAAATATGTCTGAATGTTGACATAAATAATACATGAAATATGTCTGAAAATCTCTTGTTCTTTTATCCTGGTTTAACAATATGTTAATGCATGTACTTGGGGCTTCATCTATAGCAACCAGTTTGTGAGTATTTTTATACGCCAGTCGACAAAGGGTCATAGTACAATACTACCCTGCAGTGTCCGTCCATCTGTCAATTTTTCCTCATCATCGCTGTCCTGTGTTAAAAAGATCTGTCTTGATGAAAACTATTACAAATAGAAGTACAGTGGATACTGCTTATATTCTATTTGCTGGAGAAAAATATCATAATCGTCGATATGTTTTATTAAACAATCAAGCTGTTTTCAATCGTTTTTAGGTTTTCTGAACCAGAAGTGAGATGCCCTATAATCATCAGGCATAGATAGATGTGGAAACATGGGAAGATATTAATTCAAATTGAAAATACAATAATTGAAATAAATCGTTATTTATATCAGTATGTTGGAAAAATTTAAGAAAATTGCATTTGTTGTTTTTTAACGTTAGTTCTACTTTCACTTTCAAAATGACTTTGAGTAATTCCTCAGAACTAGCGTTATACTTCATGGTAGCTAACATATAGCTTAAACAAGTTCGCATTTCAGAATTTGTTTGTTTTAAGTGGAGTTGTGACCCTTTATTCAATTTTATAACAAAAGTTTGCCTAGAACATAGTCTTTTTCCTCTTTCACTTTTATTAACTAAAAACAGAGTTAGGCATACTAAAATCAGGTCTTCTGCCCCTGTCTATACAGAGTTATTGCCCTTTGTATTTTTATTCAAACTTTTTCATGAGTATTACTTAACTGCCTGTGACTGGGTTACATTGTTCCAGTGTAGTACTCTTGTTAACAGATTATCTAGTTGTCAAATATTTCTACTGTTCACCCAGAT